AATTATTCAGGCCCTAGAAAATCAGTCATTCAGTAAGGGGGACAAGTTCCATTTTATGTATTCAAATTATTTGAAAATACATTTTAGAGGTATCTCACAATGGTGATGCTTTTTGTCCTCTGTTTAATAAAAGTCCATTTGCAAAACACTTTTGTGGTGTTCAGGGCCGTAGCACAGACTTCAAAGCCAACTCTGCTTAAAGCAGGAGGCTGAACTTCCTGAGTTCTCCAGACTTCTCTTTCAACATGAATTATCCTATGACCTGACATATGCAAAACTAGATAGGCAGAATAAACAATAAAATGAAGTTCCTAAGATTTTTGGTGATTTGCTTGGTGGGCTTTTTTTTAATTTTTTTGAGTATGTTAGTGGGGGTCTTGGGGCTTTGAATACATTTTTGGAATGACATTTTTTCATTTCATTTAACCTAGCTATAGTTGTTTTTCTTATCTACAGCCCCAGTCTTCCAGAAGAGGGAGTTTGATCCCTTGCTACAGAAAGAGGTAATCTAAGAATGAGCAACTGCAGGTTCCAGATATGACACTTGCAGGTTTCTCTTTGATGAGATTCAAAGAGAAACATGTGTACCATGTTGTCACAGGTTAAAGTGTTACAAGACCACAGGCTGTAGCTCACTCAGTAGGAAGAAGACTTTTGACATTTGAAAAAGCCAGTTTAACAAACCTGAGGCACAGCAACATGGAAACCAAGTAGAAAGAAAGGAAAAAAAAAATCAAAGTTGAAACAAAGCATTTTAATGAAGCATAAAATTGACACATTTTGGCCTAAGTTTTGTCTGGAAGCTGCAAAGTCTTGAAATTCTCCAAGCAGGGATGCTAAACAAACCCTGCTTCCAGTGGCTGGTTCACACTGATCACACTGGCTTATGAGTGAAGTATCATCAGATTACAGGAGAAAGAAATTAGGTGGTGGGGTTGACTGCAACAGCAGGAACATGGCTTGCTGTTTAAGATTTCCGCCCACTTTTATTCTTCCAGGAGACAATGCATTTATTCTGCAAAAAGGATTGGATAACATTCCCAAAATTTGATAGGAGATCCCTCTTTATTCAAGCTTCTGAGTCAAATGGGACAAATTGAATGTTGATATGGTAAGTACAAAATTAATACCAAACATTATAAAATTAAAATACACATTTTGCATAGAAAAGTAGCTTTCAGTGCTAAGAACAATATGCTTGTAGGTGAAATGGAGCAATTTGGTAAAATGAGGTAATGGGATAAACTCCTTTTCAATGCCTTGTTCCCCACTTTGGAATATGTCCACAGAACAGTCAAAGCCTTAAAGGTTTTACTTTGCCTCAGAATAAAAGCAGATTAAAAGAAGTATCTGCAGCCCACATGCAACTTACCTTTCAGGACTCATTGGGCCAGGCAGGTCTACTCCAGAACATTATAAGGGATAGTACAGGAGTACATTTCTACAAACTATGTCGTAAATAAGTTCCCAATCTTTATTTTCTCCAATGCCACATAGGGCTACAGAAAAATATCTTGTGCATAAAGTTGTATTAAGGTTGTACTTAAAATGCTGAAAATGTAAGTACTCTACCATTGCTGTTAGCTGTATTTATAGAGGAGTTAGACCAGACAAAGAAAGCTGAAGTAACGTTCTAAATATACTCCTGTCCCTGTTCTTTTTGCCCCATTATTACTTCATCCATATAAAGGAGAAGATGACTGAGAGAGTGTTCAGGGAGGTCTGCAGTGTTTACATGGCTTACAGGTTTCCTCCTCTAGAGGGGCCTGTGAGCCTGGGTGGCTTTGCCATGCAGCCTTTTCCCCTTCTTAATTTGTAAGGTTCCCAAGTGTCTGAGGCTCCCAAGGTTTAGGCAAGTTTCTCTCATATACCAAGATTACCAAACTTCTCAAACTACTTGTGCTTGGAATTTTTTTGGATTCCTTTTTAACAACTTTCTCTCATAGCCAGAAAACCTTGTTAAGAGTAGAGATATTAAGGGAAGTGGAAGCTGTTCCTGTGATGCTTAAAGGTCCAGTCAAAGTCTGAGCCTGGAGTGTTTTGATATTGGTCTGTGTGTGCTGTACATTTATTTTTCTTACGACTTTAATCCTATCTTTGAGCTGAAGGAAGGTAACAGGTGGTAGATCTGACTGCAAAAAGCCATGGATGCCAATTCAGGAACTCTGAAACACCATCAGGTAGTTTCAGGAGCGTTTCCTGAAAACAGAATCTTAAATACCTTAACCAGTTAGTTGAATTAAACTACATGTACATGATCTGGCATGCATTAATCCATATTAAGTATTACATAATTTGTATTAATATCTGTGATATAAAGTCAAGACCTGCCTAACATATATCTAGAATGAGGTAAGAAGCTGGTGTTAGAAATATTGCAGAGCCATAACACACTATTTTTCATGATGCAAATAATATGCAGATAATAGCTATGCTGAACAAGCTTGGTTTGTTTTAGCAGGCTATTTAAAAAAAACATTGTAAGAAGAGAAGGACCAAAAAAATCAAGATGCTTTGGCCCATGTACATAATTAACAATTTTATAACAAAATCATTGCTATTTACCACATGACTGGTGCAGATTCACTTCCCAGCCATGGCAAGGGTGTATTCTGAAAATACAACCTGTGGTATCACAGGCAAGGTAAGACAAAAACATTGCTGCAGTATTTCATGCATGCAAACTTCAAATGAGTTAGCTGGTGTATCATCAGCAGCAAATTCCCTACCAGAGCACCCTAAGCAATCCCATAAAACTCAAATGAGCTGGACTTGTTCATAAAGCTTGACTGACACCAGCCAGTGCTGGCTACGTGCAGCCTGGACACAGGAGCTCTCATCTCATTTTTCAGTTTTTGGAAATTTAGTGTTGCATCTTAAAAATTGTTTCCTTCTGAAGCCACCTCCAAATTCACCTTTCAGCCATTCTCTTTCTAATCCAAACACACTCAACCACAAACCTAAGTTTTGGCAGTGTAAATCCAGAGCCTTTGAAGATGATAATACTGCGCTTGACAACTGTGTCAAATACTTTTTACACTCCTCAGGTTGTGCAAATAACAAACATTCCTGCCACTGAGTGCTACTTATCAGTGTGGTATTAATTTTTTTTTCTCTCTCCAGAAGGAAGATAACTACATTACTGACTTAACTCCAGAATAAAAGGTTGTCACTGTCCAGCTGCAGCAGAAAGTTCAATTATCTTCTTTCCAGGCTCAACATCCTTAGAACAAGTGCATGTGCACACACATACACAGAGATACATCACATTATGCCAACACACAGAAATGGACCCAAACTGGACCTGTCTTTTTCTCTTTTGAAAACAGTCAAAGCTCAAAGAGAAGTTAAATTTCAAAACTGACTAGAAATGTACCTAACTCATGTTAACCTTCTTCATTCAAACCAGAAGAGAGGCTCCTCCTGGGCCATGGGTGTGTCCAGTGGATCCATGACAATGTCCAGTCAAAGCCCCCTCTCCTTACATACTCTAAATAACATAATTTTGAAAGAAAACCTCAATAATGTTTTTTAAAAAAGCTGATGTTTTCAGAAGGTGTAAAAAGGATGTTTCAGCAGAACTTGGCTCACTGAGTATGATCATTTGCCTGAAAAGTGCTCTGGAAACAATAAAGCCAGAACTCAACTGGAGTAAGCATCTCCTACTAAAGAGAAGACCAACACAAAGAAAGAAACAACAATACTGTCTGCACCATGGGGCTTTTGGTCTTGTTAGATGCAGCTTAATCTGGGAGCCTTTTTGGGACTTTGTGTTGGTTGTATCTGCCTGGATTTAACCTCTGCTCTCGAGAGAGTAAAGCCAGAGTCCCCTGTGAAAAACAGGTCAGACAGGTACCACCCTGTCCTGTTGCTGATCAACTGTCCTTTCCCAGACTTTTAGGATACAAGCTACATTTTTCTTTGACATATAGTGACACATGCACATAAAACTTGGCTGGGGCAAAAGCTGCCTGCTCACTACAAGCTCTGCACTTTACCATTAATGGTCAAGCTAAGGGGAAAATAAACCAAACACAAAAGCAAACTGTAATGGGAGCTCCACGACACAGAGAACTACAAAGCAACAGGTGCCCTTGGAAACAGGTTTTCACATGGAAAAGCACAAGAAAATAAATTAAAAAGCACAAAGACTAGGAAAACAAGCATTGTTCTTCAAAAAAACAAAAGAAAAGAAATCTAATTTTAAAGAGCACCCAAAACCAGAAGACTTAATATGTTACAGTTCCAGGTATATGAACAAAACCAAGAGACTGGATATGACCCTTTGTTGTACGTCACTTCATTTAAAAATGTAAAATAAGCATAATTAAATTGATTCACCTTCAAAAAACTCATCTTGGATAATATTTTTTGACATTTTATTGGTCAAGAAAATTTAGAAAGGGAAACAGTGGAGTAGGAGAAGATATATGCAATGTTTTTCTGACATGTACTGGCCTGTGTACTAGAAAGTTACTTTGTCTCCACATTATTACCCAAAAGTACACCTCTGTTATTTATTACTTGTGAAAATAGACAACAAATCACTTGTCAAAGTGAATAATAATTAACTTTCATGTAAACTGATATAAAGTATTTCCAAGGAGATTATAATCTCTTCAGTGCCACACAATGTGCATTTATTTCCTTTTGAAGGAACCACTTTGCACTCTGTACAGGGCTTCCTTTTATATTATTTTATTTGCAGTTGAGTCAAAAGTAGAGAAACACAAATGCTTTGGCTCTAAGCAGGGACAGTATTATTCCAAAGCCTAAGGAATCACGTCCCCTGCTGGACTGCCCCGCTGGAGCAGCACGTGTGTTAGAAGAGCAGAGTCTGGACGATGCGGTTTTATCCTGCCAAGGAGAGCATCGCTGTTGTTAGCACACAGCTGCAGTGCCCATGGCACGGACTGACTGACTACAGGCAAAGGGTCATCTCACATGGCAAGAGCAGCCTCCAGCACGGATTGAAAAGAGAAGAAAAACATTTGACGTACTTGGATCTGACAAGATTGAGTCGGTTTTCGGCAAAAATTGGTCACAGCGGACTCCTTGGTAGCCCTCTTTGCACCTGAGAAAAAGGGGATAAATGACAAACATACGCATGCGGTAGTAAAAGGTTAATTTTAAGGTACCAAATCCACCCTGCCAACACTGCAAGGGACTCGCATACCTACAATATGCAAGTTATTTCGGCTATAATGGGGGCATGGTTATTACAGGAACACGACAGAAGCAGGTAAAATACTTTGTATTTCGAAATAAAAGTTCCCCTCCATCCTTTTGATTATTTTAGAAACTATGAAAGTAAACATCGTTTTAGCATAACCATTATTTTAAATATCAATTCAGTGAAACAACCAAAGGAAAAAAACCTGTATAAAATACACGCATTTGCAAATAAAATTATCTCTTTAGGTAACATAGCACTTTATAAAGCTTCCATACCACACAAATCATGAGACAGACAACTTATCTTTGGCTGTCTGAAAAAGCAGGGAACAGTTAGGTAGCCATTAATTTTAATACCAGTTTATACTGTGCTTAAAAGACAAAATGATAAACATCATCAGGCATTGTTTGCAAGCAGGAAGTTTCAGATGCCTGTGAGATCAGATTTTAAAGCACATAAACCAGAATAGCCTCCTGCCTCAACAAATGAGAACTGGCTTTGACTGAGATGGTAATACTATCATTTATCTTGAAGCCTTACTTTGAAGAAATTCCATTTACTGCTTTTGAACTGTTCTCAGAAGTCTCATTTCAACTAAGTGTATCAGAATCAGATCTTTAATTATTTATTCGTCAAGCAGTTTTTCAGAGGAAAGTGATGGACACTTTAATTATAAATGATAGCAACAGGGATTCCTTATCTCCCAAAGCTCTTGCACATCACATAAGCAATATGCTCAAATCAGCATCACCACCTTTCATTAGGGTTGACAACTGCAGCTTGAGTGATATGATAATGTCAGGAGAAGAAGTTATCTGCTCCTTCACAATGTTTTTACTCAGGCTTCCTCTAAATGTTGCCTTTTAATATGCTTTTGGTTTAATAAATTAATGGTTCAATGAGAAGTGCATCTCACCAGCATTGACTCAGGGATCAGCAAGAACATTAGTGAGAAAATATGTAAATTATGTTTCCATCAGACCTAAAAACGTAGTAAAATTCTACAGTAAGAAAAAGATTCAAAATCCCCATACATAATAATGTTTCAAAACCTCCCTTTTGGCCTTTATCCCTGATGGATATGATGGATATGAGGTACTACTTCAGCTTCCTCCCAGTACTCGCCTATCTAGAAAATAACTGACTTGAAAAAACTGCTCAGGTTTTATTTCATTCAGATCCCACGACAGTGGTCATAAGTTATTGGTCAAGGAAAAAATATTCTATTAACTAAAACTGTCCACTAGTCAGAAAAACTGAAGTAGTCCACATAGACACTGCTACATGCATCTTTTGCCTCTGATTATGAAACATCAGAAGCTGCCTCACATCAAAAAGAAACTCTTCTCCACGGTCTTGAGAGGAGTTGACAGACCTCATACCAAAGCTTAAGTATAACTTACGCTGGTGGGGATTCTTGCCTTTCTGTGAGCATTTTTTAATATCTTTTTGACAAACATTTGCACCTGTCTTGGCTATAAATACCATATTACAGACTTAAAACCCTCTATCCCAAACTGCTTGTCTTAAAAACATGTGAGGAGAGTCACAGATTGGTATCTCCTGGAAGAGCTGTGCCAAGTGCTCATCAGTGTGCAGACATTTTCACTTACCTGTACCTCTAACAAACATGCCACAAGGGGAATGTGTTTCTTTCAAAATTTAGTACAGAGGTGGATGATATATCAAAGAATAATCTTGTAACACCATACCCTTATGCTCAGGTAATACCTACTATGGTGAGGCTGCACCTTGAATCCTGGGTCCAGTTCTGTGGCCCTCAATACAAGAGGGACATTGAGGTGCTGGATCAAGTCCAGACAAGGGCAATGGAGCTGGTGAAGGGAGTGGAGCACAAATGAGGAGTGGCTGAGGGAACTGGGGTGGTTCACCCAGAGAAAAGGAGGCTCAGGAAAGACCTTACTGCTCCCTGCAAGTCCCTGAAAGGAACATGTAGTGAGGTGGGGGTTGGTCTCTTCTCCCAGGTAAGCAGTGGCAGGATGAGAGGGAATAGCCTCAAACTGCAGCAGGGTTTAGATCAGGTATTAGGAAAAAATTCTTCACTGAAATGGTGGTCAGACATTGGAACAGGCTGTGTGGGAAGTGGGGGAATCAGCATCCCTGGAGGTATTTAGAAGCTGTGTAGATGTGGTGCTGAGGGACGTGGTTTAGACATGGGTTTAGGTTAACAGCTGGACTTACTGATCCTAGAGGGCTTTTTCATATCAGTTATTCTATGACTTGATGGCCAAACATAGCTTGGTTTTTTTAAACTGCATTGTTTCTCAGCAGAGATAAAATTAAAGTCTTCTGGTTCCCTTAACAAATTCCTTTTAAAAATCTAATAATAGCAATAACTGCTCTGCCATCATGACACCCGAGTTCAAACTTTTGCATGTTAAGTCATTAAGCTTTGCAGAATATACATTTGACAGTTATAATGCTACAATAGGATGAAAGTTGATCATGTTGTGGCATCCCATAATCTTACCTAAAGCATCTGCCATGTGTCCTAAATAGGCAGATGTGATATGCACACATGCTGCTCATTGGTATCACACCTCTACGGAAGAAAGCACAATAACCCACTGCAGAAAACCCTATTAAAGCAGCACTGTTGTGACACATACAGAAGTTCTGGAAAGTCCAAATGAGGTCACTCAATATCACCATATGCAGTGTGAATGATCAAATACATATTTATGGATGCATTAAAAAAGCCATGAGTTATCAGAGAAACCTTGAGAAATGCTTAGGTGCAGCTCATGGTTTCAGAAATGATCACTTGATTCTGAAACAAACAAATGCTTATTAGAGATACCATAAAAAAATATAGAAAAAGAAAAAACCACCTAGATAAGATATTGCTTATAGTGAAGCAAAAGCTCTGATCTGTGTGTGGGACCCCTGCAGCAAAGGCTGGAAAGGACAGCCTAATATCCCATGTGCACACCATGGCAAAGGGGTCTAAAAATGGTGTTAATTGCAGCCTCTGCAAAATAAATATGAAAAGGGAATTCTCTATTTTGCATTCAGATTTTCACCCAAATGAGTGTGTCTGTCTAGGCTCTAGACCAGAAATTTCAACAGGATTGTATCGTATAAGTGGAATTATTTAAATCCTTCTGATTAAACGGTATGAAAAGAGAAACACAGGTAAAGCTAATCTGCAGCTGCTAAAATGCTTGCAAACATATCCCTAACTGATAAGTGTTAAATCCAACTAAGATTACTTCATCATGTCTTCTTCAGATCTTTTTTTGGCAATGTACTTTCCCAGATGATTTTTTAAGGTCACCAGTAAGAAACTGCATTGTGCACTGCACTTCATGAAGTCAGCCACAATGACCTCTGTGTGAAAACACACACACAGAAACACATCTCTCATTCCTCGTGAGAAGGCTTATCTTTTCCTTTCTACTTAGGCACATTTGCAACTAAGTATTAAAAAGTAATTAAGGCATGAGACTTTATTCATTCTTTTATTCTTTATGCTAATGTTTAATAGTACTAATACATGTATGTTCTAGCCCAAGAGATCACAGACACTTTCCATGGACATCTCCCAGAACTGTTTCTTGTACAACCTTATGGAGCCAAGGGAAATTTCAAATAGATGGCTGTGTCACTCCTGAGACTAACACAGCACTTCAATTTCCTAGGTTTCAAGTTGGATACATTTTAAAAAGTAAAGTGAATGGGGGCAAGGATGGGGCAAATAGCACAATAAAGAAAGATAAAGAATAAAATAATAGATTTAAGACAGCAGAAAGGGAAGAAAGAGAACCTGCTGAGAAGACTTAGGGTAGGACATAAAACTAATGGCCAAGAAGATGATACTATCATGATTTACATTTTCCCCAAACACCTCCATATGGAGCTCCATGTCCCCATTAAGCCTAAATATTTACTTGTCAAGGGACAGCAAGGTAGAGAATGCAGGAGGGTGGCACCAGCAAACTGCAGAGGCTACAAAATATGGCAACATTATGAATCCACATCTCTTTCCTCCTTCTCTGTGATATCCATCCATCTGAAATGAAAGCAATTCCCCTTCTTCCCCAAGTGAGGTGATCACATTGCCTCTGACCCTGTGAAGAAATCTGCAGAAAGTAGCTTCTCTGCACAAAGTCCAGAATCTGGCAAACATATAATATATGAATTCATCTGAAATGAAAATTTTGAAAATGACAGTTGGCATCTCAAGGACAGACTACAGCAGAAGAGAAAGCTATATATTCCTACACACCAGGGAAACAAGCATGTCCTAGGCCAAAGGTCATTTGTGACATTGAAAAAAAAAGAAGTCCTAATAGCGCAGTGCCCAAAAGGTTAACTTATATGAACCTATAATCTGATTCTAGTCTCATCAACAGGAGTAATCCAATTTGAAAGATGGAATTAATAGTACCTATGAAAAATGAAATTTAATTTTTGCAGTGAATCCAAATCAACACATGTTTCCTTCCCCTTGTAAAACTGCAAATTGGCAGTCTCAAAGAAGACATTAATTAGAATGATCCATCTCAGTGGATCAGTTGCAAATTATTTTCTCTTGACACCATTATATCCACTGTACTAACATTCAGATGCCAATATGAGAACATACTGCAGCTCTTATTTTTTCTCTATGAGAGAACTCCAGGATCATAATAAAAAAAAAATATTGTAATGGTCTATAAATTTCTATCAAGTATTTATTTTCACACAGAGAATGCAATACTCTTCATCCTGGGTCAGAGAGTCAGTTATACAATAAATCTATGATAGCAAACCATGACATTATATAGGCCATATATATATTTCAGCCACAGTCCAGCCTGAAATATGCTGTAGACAATGAAAAAGAATTCCTTTGCTCTGCACGTAAGCTAAATATGGATTTCTGTGCCTGCAGT